GGCTCCCGCGCCAGCAGTTCATGAGCGACGCGCTCCCGTGGAAAACACCGGCGCGGAGGAAGGCGGTTAATGCCTTGCTGTTGTTCCAAGGTGCGCACGCCAATTAATAGCAAATTAATTTGCAGCTTTGCTTACTGAAGTGATATGTGGAAAGAGGCTGTCGCAATTAGTTCCTTCTTAATGGGCTATTGATGTCTTGGTTGCTAAGTCAAGCAGTGGTTCCTTGAACTAACACCCTTGCCGAGAATAAAAACACCGGGCTGCCGCAGGGATCGCTGACGTGGATTCGGGGGAGTCTGCCGGTGCCCAGCAAATGTGAGGGCCGTTGGCTTCGCCCTTGCTCACCCCAGCCCTCGCGGGGGGGACACACACGCAAGTCCTGTGGCTTCCCCGAGACCCCTCATGGGCCAGGTGGCCGGTGGGGACGCGGGGACGCTGCCTGCGCAGGCTGGGGCCGTTTGCCCGTGGTGAAGCATGGGGGGGGTGTGTGCGTTTGCAGAGGGAGCTGCAGCCCGTGCTTCGCCATCCGCACCCCGGGGAGCAGCGGGGGCTCTCGGGCCGGGAACGTGCTTCCTGACCCCCGCGCTCCCCGCAGGCGGCATCGCCGTTCTGACCGTCGCTCGCTAAATGCGGTCCTTGTTGCTGTCCTGACGATCTGGAGAGGGAAGGAGCGCCGGCGTCGCTGCGAGCCGCGCTTGGTGCCCGAGGAGGAAGGAGCTGGGACGTGCTCCGCGTTTCCAGGTTGAAATAAGGAGCGGAGGGATCGCGCCTGGGACTCGCGGCGCTGCTGCCCTTCCCGAGCGTGGCTGCGCCCGCGCTCCCGCATCGCTCGCCTTGCCCTGCTTCCCTCTGCCGGGGCGTCGTGGTGGGGAGAGGGGTCCTTGGCTCTGCCGTAGGGGTGGCTTTTGCTGGAGCTGCCTCTCCTGGGCTGCCTCTCCCCCCAGGCAAACGAGATGGCAAATGGATGTCCTGCAGGCGGGAAGGAGCCAGAAAGCCCTTGCAGAGCCGTGGCGACCGTCATCGGCACTCGCTGCTCTTACAGGTCACGCTTGGACTCCAGGACCCACCAGGGATGGAGCAGGGACGCGTGAGATGTGCCAGGACCATGGGATGTCTTTCCAAACCTCCTCCTTGGAATCCAGCTCCGGCATCGTGGTGAACTGAGCTGGGAAGAATTGAAGGCTTTTTGGTGTCTCTCTCTGATTCTGGAAGCTCCAGCCCTTCCGGAAGGCCGTCGCTTTCCATGTAGCTGAGGCATTTCCAGCTTTGTCAGGCCTTCTGCCCAAACTACCCGCTGAAAAGCATTTCTCAGCCCTACTAAATAAGCGGTCCTGCCCTTCAGAGGCGCCTTTTCTGAGAGCACATGGGGATGTGAAGCAGGAAATCTCTGCCCCTCCACACCTCCCCATGAGCCTGGACACGGGGGATCTTGCTTTGGAGCTATTCGTGGGCGTCGCGTGTAGGTGGGCACGGGTGGCCCCAACGTGCCCTGCCCACCAGCCCACCAGTACGTGCGGCGTACGTCCACATTGCGTCCAGGGAGCGCTGCCACCAGCACCCTCG